GATTTCTCCAGTGCTGTCCCGCGAGCGCGAGGTCTGACTTTCCCGGAGAAGTGTCGCCTCTCTCGGCGTCTGTTCTGTGCAGCGAGCGGCAGAGAAGCAGCGACTCCTCAATAAATGAGTACAAAACAGGGTTTCCAAGCACCTGTCGCTTACTGAGTGTGTGGAATTATAAATATGAGCGCAGTTCGTCTGTTAATATCACATGCACTTTTTTAGTTTGTTGTTGTTTTTAGTTTGTTACTCAGACGCAGGCAGTGCGCTGCATGAGACAAAAGAGTAATCCAGCCAAAACAACCGCATAGCCGCTCTTTAGTGTAGATGCATGCTGATTTTATCAGACGATGCCGTGATTATAAATGAGAGTGACTCCTGGATAACATGTATTAAAAGGCGTCGTGTTTAGTCACTATTTAGTGCTGTATTGTTTGACAATATTCACTCATCATGACAGTAAAATAGAGCATTCTAAGTCAATATACTGCAGTATTTCCTCTCAATCAGAAGAAGATATGGTTAACACCCGCTCATGCATGAAAAAAAATACCGTCTTGTAACGTGAAACCGGTATAATTTTGAAAAATACCGTGATATACATTTTTGGTCATACCGCCCAGCACTACCGTGAACTCCTCCAAATGATGTCCAAAACCATCTGATATTTCAGCTCATGCTTTCTGAAGACATTACCGCTGCTCCACTTTGCAAAGTCGTAAATAGCCCCATTTTACGTCTGCTTCAAATTAAATACACAAAAGTGATTTTATACACATAGAAAGCATGTGAAACGCAAGTTAAGTGTCTACCTGAACGTAACTTCAGCGAAAATAAAATGTCAAAATATGGATGAAATAATGTTCTATCGTCAATCAGTATAACAGATATAGTGCAGGGCAACGATTAATCGCGATTAATCGCATTCAAAATAATGTAAACGTCTGCTTCAAATTAAATACACAAAAGTGATTTTATACACATAGAAAGCATGTGAAACGCAAGTTAAGTGTCTACCTGAACGTAACTTCAGCGAAAATAAAATGTCAAAATATGGATGAAATAATGTTCTATCGTCAATCAGTATAACAGATATAGTGCAGGGCAACGATTAATCGCATTCAAAATAATGTAAATATAATATGTAAATACACAAGCGTGTCTTATATATATATATACACACACACACACACACATTATATAAACAAAAACCTTTATTTTGAATGATTAATCGCGATTAATCGTTGCCCAGCACTAATATTTACGTTAAAATTGTGACTATTGTCATCACTAATCATGACTAGATTTAAACGCTTATATTTAAAACTAATCGTGTGGTTTGAAGGACATTGGCATAAATTGGTAAAGATTTAAAAGTACAATTAATTAGTTTTGGCGGGCTTCACGGTGATCCTTAAATAACGTCTTTTAACGGTTTTAAATTTGCCTGACAGGATTTCTGACAACTATTGTTACGATGAATTATATTATAGTGCGTGTCTTCTGTAAAATGTGTGACAGTCGTTACTGATAATATTAGATTAACTTACACAAGACACATTCTGAAGCAAAATATAAAGCGGTTTTAATCAATTCTACACACTATCTTTGAAGTCTGCACACAATCACTGCGTCGCGTCGTTCGCGCACAGCGTGTGCTTATAGAACATAACGGGGCATATTCTCAAACACCACTTTATCCACACACAGCATAAACGTTTTAATAAAAGATATGTAATACTTACAGTCGCGTTCAGGCATGATGAAATTAGTCGGGCCTCTCTCCAAAACTCGACTCGACGCACTCTCGACGTGCTGACGTCACACTTCCGCTTCTCTGCAGTTGTGCGCACGCGACAGCGCCGCCTGTTGAACTGGATGAGAGCCTTGTTTCATAACTCAAGAAGCTGTGTTTGAAAGCAATATATAATTATTTCTTTAAAAAAAATTATATATATATATATATTATCGAAGGTGACTTACAAATGAGGACAATGGAAGCAATGAAAATCAACAAAAGAGCTTTTTTTACTTAACTTTTTTTTTTAATTATATAATAAATAAAAAGAAACCGGATAAAGAACAGAGCAAGCTGGTGTTAGAGGACTTTTTCATGGTATCATAAATAAAAAGAAAACAAACAGATGGAATGCAAAAAGATTAGAGAAGCTAGGGTTAGTTTTTTATTTTATTTGAAGAAAAGCAGTTCGTAAATGAATAGAGTGCAAGTCTAAAATGGGCACGTTTTATATAGAATTAGAATAGAGCGTGCTAGAGTTAGAGCGTCAAATAAAGATGGAAGAGATGTGTCTTTAGATGCTCTCAATATATGTATATTATAAACTGCTATAAAAATAGGAGACTATTAAAATTTTTATTTGGCTCCAAATATTGTTTTAAATTTGCTCCAACAGCAAAATAACAAAATCCTTTATTGCATTTTTTCAAAAGGTGGGGGAAAATAGTTTTCTGTCATTTAATTCCATGGTATTATAATACAAAAGTATATAATTGTAATACTTTTTTTTTTTTAAATCACCATTTTGTCACTCTTTCGGCATTAACACATTATTAACATCCCTCTGTTTCTGGTGATGCTTTTAATCATTAATACTTCTGGCTCAGAATGCATTTTGAAATCCACGCTGGACTTTGCTATATTTATCATATTTGAATAAAAATGCAATCCCAAATGTCTCGTCCAATGCATTTAAGAAAAATAACTTCGAAGTGATGATTTTGCAATAATTTGTGCTTCGACGTGTTAAACATATCGGTTTCATTTTACTTTGCAAATGATGAAACTACTAAAGTTAAAAACTAGTGTATATGGCAAACGTGCATTATTTAACTGAATATTGCAACACAGAACTTTTGGTTATGATGTAATTGCAGTTTGAAACATGCTTTACATCCCTCTATAGAGTCCTTGCATATATCGTACACTCGGCCATACATGTCTTCCCTCGAGTCCAAGACATCTTGTGGCCTTAATATTGAAACGGTGTATTTTATTATGACCACATGGAAATCATTTTCTGTGGTAACTGGCATGATACCAAATAAGTTGAACTCAGATATGTGTGTGACGATGTCAGTTGTCTTTAATCTTTGATTATATGCCCCGTGTTTATGTTTGTTTTGATTTACATTTGTTGGTATGAATGTGTTTTCTATTTCAATTTTGGGCTTCTCTTTCTTGTCTAAGGTGCACATTCGGATTAGAATATACGTATCAAAGTATTGTATACTACATTGCTTATTTTTTGTATTTATTTTGAATTCTATGCTCATTGATGAGTTTGTGTATGTATATGATTTAGTTTTCCCTGAGTTCCCATGAGATGGTTCGACCCTTGGGTGTAAAAAGGGCTCACTCTGCCTCTCAGGAGTTAGTTCTGGTTGGGGCCTCCGTGAGGACGGTCAACTTTAATGTAGTTTGTAAGTCAATAAACTCCTTTTATGACTCCAAGCAAGCGTCTCCCCGCCTTTGTTCTGGTCGTGTCCCCACAATGTTTATTTATTTTCATGTATGCCCCTGCATTGTATTGCATTTGTGTGTTTATGTATATCTGAGTAGATATATATCTCTAGCCAATGCAGAAGGTCTTGAGCCACTGATGGGACATTTACAGCAGTTCACATCAGTGTTGTTGGTGGGTAGACGTCTTCATGTAAACACAATTTGGAATGAGATAAGATTTACTGTATTGTTAACCCTTTAGTAGTGACTTAGATATTCCATTATTAACAAAACCTGGCTTTACAAATAACCTAGTACCACCAAGTGTGTCTGTTTCACTCTTGAATGAATCAGTTGAATGAATGACTCCCTCATGAAAACCACCTATTTGTATAACAGTCCACTAAAATCCTCCCTCTAAAACACTGAAAATGATTATTCTACTGGGGTATGTTTGTGTTTTGTGCGTGTGGTGTAGCGACAGAGAGCACAGAGTCGTTAGACAGAAAGCACAGCTTTATTGACTGCACTGGTCGACCACAGCCGAGCGCTGGCGATGATGGGACGGGAGCTGTTATTAAGGCATCACAAACAGCATGCACATACAGTCACATGAACATTATATTGCTCTAAAGACTGCTTAACATGGAAAATGTACAAAAAGGGAAAAAATATTTTTTTGCACTGATGAAAAATACTTGTCTTTTTTTCCCCTTCTATAAAGATTTCCAATACAAGAAAATAAATATCGCGAAAAAAGCCTAAAATAATTTAAAATAGCTCTTCTTTTTTTCTAATTACATGTTCAATAGTTTTCTCTGCTATTAACAAATGGCACAACATTCTTTGAAACAAAGAACATAGAAGGAGAAACTCCTGCAACATTCATATCATCGTATCCTAACCGCGTCGAGCGGAAGATACAGGACACGTGCGATTTTTAAATGGACTGCAAGTGCTTCACCTCTCCTGCGCCTCATTTACTCTTTCAAGAGAGAACGACAGAAAAAAAACTGGCTTGTGGGAAAATTACGCTGCATAGTAAACGAGACGGGAGAGTTTGGACTTTGATATGACAGCAAAAGCTGCAGCTGGACAAGCGAGAGATCTTCACGACAGGTTTCTGAGGCGCTGCAGGAGTTTGACGAAGCATCGGAAGTGAACGACAACACTGAAGGATATTTGGGTGAAGCTCGGGAGGCTCACACGTCTCACCAAAAAACATTAAAGAAACCCTTAAAAGCTTAAAAGTAGTTTTTGTAATGAATCTTATTCATGCTGACTTTAATATTAAGATGTCCAGACATCTTTATAAATGCAAAAAAAAGGGTAATGGTCCTACAAATTGGCTTCACTTTATTTCTGTGGATGAAATATGACTTTTCAATAATCAGTTCCATTAGAAGAATGAATGAATGGGCCGTCATGGGCCCAATCATATATTCACTTCACTTTCACAATGGATTGAGTAGACAAGAATGGCACGATGTGCTTAAAACTGGGTCCTAGCTGGGTCCTAGGGGTGTGCGATGTGCATCTTCCAGGATAATATACTAATTGTTGTTTAAGCGATGTGAGAGCTGATGTTGTCGTGTATGTCCCTCAATTTGCACAAACCAAACCATGTCTTGGAGCACGATTCCACCGCATGATGCAAACTAGCAAAATTACGTCAGAATGACGCGAAATTCAAGATTTAAGGGCAAAAAAATGCCCTTTATGAGTTTTTGTCCTATATCATATTGTAGTTCAGCAATGCCACACGAGCATACTGTAAGTGCTGTTTTCCCAAATATCAACACAGTTGCAAATGTGATATTGATTTTACACAGGAATTTTATATTAAATGAGTTAAAAAGACACAATTTTTGTCTGTTTTTGCTCTATTTTGCTCAATGAAAATAGTTTCAGACAAAGCCAAAACAAAAACATTGTGAGCCCTTCATTACTGAATGAATCCAAGTTTTTGAACGAATCATTTGAGGGAATGATTCAACGACTCCCTCATTAAGACAAGTGACTTGCTGCCACCTACTGGTGGTTTTAGTTTTATACTTAAAGTATTGTTTAATTTTTAATATTTATTCATTCCAAATGTTATTTTTAAAACATTAAAAATGTCCTAACCAGACACGATGCTGCAATACGATAAAAGCTATATTTTCCATGTAAATCTGAGTTTTTGTCCTAATCAGACGTGCCAGTGACAAGCGAAAGCAGATTTTAATTTCTGGAAAAACGACATTCAAACTATGACGGTGAGAATCTCAGGGACTGATTATGTGCTTTATTCAACGTTAAAAGTGTCTAATGTGTGTTTGCATATCATTTTGCGTGACCTTTATAGCCATACTGAAAGCAACAATATAGTTTACCTCGGATATTGAAAATAAATTACAGCAAACATTTGTTTAAACTGTGACCTCAATGCATACCAACAAGCGTATTTCATAACAATAGTGTTAGTCACTTAGTATACTTTTAATAAGGTTTAATATTTATGAATTAGATAAACATTCATTTAGCTGCGAAGGCAGTGAGCTTGCAGAGAGGCTCCGCCCACACATGCTTCTGATTGGCTGTGAAATTTTAATGATTTTGTTGCGTCGCATAGCCGTGTCGCATCTGGTGTGGACTGACAAATTGCTTGTCGCTGGAATCCTGCCGCGTTGTGTTTGGTTAGGACACAGTGCATTTGTAATTGCAGTGTAACTGCATTCATGCCACCTCCGAGCTGCATTGAACAGTGTGCATAAATACATATAAATGCCACTTTAGATGGACAATTTATAGAAAAGATAATCTCTGTCACTGCTGCCAACAAAGAGAATATGAACGTCTTTGTGAGCCATGACGGGCTTAAACCAGCCAACGTATCAGCACAAAAACACACTACAAATCATCTAATTATCATTAGAAACAAAAAATATATATATATATCATTTTTTTTTGTCAATATCGCACACCCCTTGAATGTCTCAATGATTTCCAGCTATTCACCCTTCCAGGGAAAGCCAACAGTAGAGACAAAAGAATAACCAAATGCAAAGACTAGCTACCCTTTGTCATTCAAACAGACGGTTCACTAACAGCATACGAGTGTCGAGATATACTCGTCATGGGAGGAAAATGATTGCACAGAAGCTGAACATTTACAGATATTACGTAGAGTATATGTTATAGTTTTGGTACACGAACGGCAACGAAGCATGATAAAGAAGCGTGAACTCTTGCAGGAGGCTGAAACTAGGTCACTAAAGGCACAGTATTCCATGTTTGCGTTGGGTGCATACTGAACCAGAGAACGGCAAATGACCAGCGCTATGATTATTCCCTATTAAAGCAGCTAAGATACATGAAATCTGTACAGGTCGCTGTCTGTGGTCTGAACGGATACAGCAGACGGCCGTCGCGGTTTAAGCCAGTGAAGAAGTGAAGCAATTCAGCCGTCGTTCATCCACCACGGCATCGTTCCAAACCCGAACGACTCTTCTGTGCAACACAAAATGACAGTGATTTGTGTGCTGTATATCCTAGTCTTCTGATGATCCAAAGCATCCTTTGGTTACGATGCTATTCGCATACTAGCCGAGATCTATGGTGACCAGGGAAGGTTTTCGGTAAATAGATGCTTCAGTTTGGACGAAGCATCATAAGACACCAGAAGACTTGGAATGTAATGCATGGACTACTTTTTTTTGTCCGTTTTGGACCCTTTCACTGTATGGAAAAGAACAGGGGTTGGAACGACACAAGACTGAATACAGAACTGGGGTTGGGTGAACTAACCCTTCGATCACTAACACGCATCACGCACGCTACATATCAGATGCTTGTGTCTCATAAACGAAACATTTCTGGAGAGAGCATCACTGGAGCTCACGTACGTGATCGCGGATGAGGACGATACTCGATTGATGATGCAGTCCAGGAGTGTAAGGGTGGATATCAGTGCAGGCTGAGATCTTCAGAAGATCCAGACACAAAGTTTGCATCCACTTCAGAGCATATGCTGACTTACTTTTCTTTGGCATCATCATACAAGATAAAAGAAAAGAAACGAAGTGCTTCATCATTACACTGTGAGACGATCGTCTCAAAACGTGATGTTTTGGCAAAGAAACACTTGTTGTTTGTGAACGTACCGGTTTAAGCTTCTCAGATTATTACAATCACTTCTTCTCTATAACCCTGAGATAAACACCATGGGTTGATTCATTAGAAGTCACAATCAGAGGGAAAACATTAGCAAAGCCTGAGGACACTTTGTAAGTGCGGATCCAATTTGACTGACGGAAGTTGGTTCATGAACAGCACTTTGCTAAAGCAGTATTAATGATTTTAGCATTGTTGGGTCAATGCTGTTTTCTAGGCACCTAGAATCTCTACAACCTCGACATTTACATATAAGCTTTTGGACCAAGCAGGTTTTCGTTTCTGATTGTATTAAAACATGCTGATTACTTGTTTGATTGGGGGGGGGGGGGCTACAGAAGGCACGCTTTAATGAAGAACAACAACGGTTCTTTCTGAAAAATTAACTGAAACAAGTGGAAAAGAAAATGCCAGATAGAGTGAATCTCACAAAAAAAATTCTCCCTAAAATTCTAGACATTATAATTCGTTGTAACTGGAATATCCCAAGTGGTCCAATGGAGTTAATTGACTATTTTTAATTTTCTTTAATTTTTTTGAGCGATTCTCTCTATCTATCGGTATTACAAAACCACCATTTTTATTTTTCATTTTACTTCGTTTAACCACGGTGGTCATCTTTTGTCATGGCGCACAACAAATTTTGGGTCATACGGACGTTTATGGAAACCTCAGTATCCTGGCTCAGAAAAATCACTGGCTCAAGACGGTCCTGAAGCTCCTTGAATCAAGAACTTATCTCAAATTAATGCACATTTCAAGATACATTAACATTAAAGTTTCTCAGACTTCAAATTTAAGTCCAAATGTAAATATAGCTGCAAGCAGCAATTAAGGGGCCAAGCACAACAGAGGCAGAATGATGAGCAATCATTGCAAGGAGGATCAGACCAAACGCAACAGTGAGTGATTAAAGACATTTTAAGGTGATTTTACTCAATCTGGCTGAAAAATCATAAATTCAATCATTAGTAATATGATTTAATGGTTCATCACTTTTCACCAATAGGTAGCACTGTTATCAAATTGATGTGGTGTGGTCAGTGTGAGGTGACAATGACACACACAAAGTTTGGTGTCAGAATGTCAAAGCTTTGCAGAGATACAGCTTTAGATGCAGTTTGGCGCCATGCCATCAAAATTGATGCGTTAAATGAAAACCATTTCAGCTACAGACATGAAATCCATAATTTTTTGCCGGCATGGTCTGAAGATGATCCGAGCCAAATTTGGTGAAAATCGGAACAACGCTCTAGGTGAAGATCGAAAAAGTACGTTTTCAACAAATAAAAATGGCGATTAATGCCGATTATGGCATAATTGGTATCAATGTTTTCTGCATGATCCAAGGAATCATGACAATACGCAAAATTAATTAAAAAAAAAAAGATATTTTTTAAAATCTGCATGATCCAAGGAATCAAGACAATAGGCAAAATTAATCAAAAGTTATTCACGTTTTTTGATTTATATACTTTGTATATATATCATTTTTGACCACAAGGTGGCACTGCTCCAAAACTTTTTGAGTACCTTCAGGGCATGGTGCCGAAGACACGTACCAAATTTCATAACGATATGCCAATGCATTCTTAAAATAAAGCTTTTTTTTTTCAAAATGACAAGACGTCCAAAATTGCCGACATGCGAAAATTGGGTACCATTTTACTCAGCATGCTGCTATGAATGTAAAGAGACCAGTCTTGAGATTTTTCTGAGCCAAGATACTGAGGTTTCCATAAATGACCCAAAATATGTTGTGCACCATGACACAAAGACCGTGGTTATCGGTGTACAAAGTACAAACTGTACAAAGTACGTAAGTACAAAACTGGTGTTTTACAATGACAATAGACAGAGGTAATCACTCAAAAATTTGAAAATTTAAAAACAGTCAAGCAACCAACTTTACAACTTCGGACCACTCGAGATGGATTGACCAAACGTCAAAAACGTGCTTGTCGCATGGTACATCTAGTCTCTGTAAAAGCGAATGAGGCGGTGGATACGACAGGTACATGTGTGCTACATTCCCCGACGGCTATTTGTGCTTATTTGCGTCATATTTTCTCTGTACATCATCTTAAAGCAGCCGCATCCTCTGGAGACACACGACAGACGTATTCATATAAAACGAACACAACCTGAACAGACGTCATAATGCCCACGCACATCGTCCCTGTTCCAGGACAGAGCCTATTGCTTCCCAAGAGGACACCTCCGACAGTGCTCATTTAGACTTTTTCGTTTCTTGCTGTTTGTCAAGCACAAATGGTTACGGTTGCATAAATGTAGGCGACGGACTAATATACACCACCAGTCAAAAGTTTTTTGTTTTTAAAAAGTCTCTTCTGCTCACCAGGCCTGCATTTATTTGATCCAAAATACAGCAAAAGCAGTAATATTGTGGATATTTTTACTACTGCTTTCTATATGAATATGTTTTAAACTAATTTATTCCTGTGATCTTTCAGCATCATTACTCCAGTCTTCAGTGTCACATGATCTTCAGAAATCAGTATAATATGCTGATTTTCTGCTCAAGAAAAATGTATAAATATTATTATTATTATCAATATTTAAAACAGTTGAGTACATTTTTTTCAGGATCCTTTGATGAACAGAAAGATCCAAAGATCAGCATTTATCTGAAATAAAAAAGCTTTTGTAACATTACACACTATGTCATTCAAAAGCTTGGAGTCAGTATAATTTTTTTATTATTATTTTGGGGAAAGAAATTATATACATTAAGATTTTTATTTAGCAAGGATGCTTTAAATTGATCAAAAGTGATGATAAAGGCATTTATAATGTTACAAAAGATTTCCATTTCAGATAAATGCTGTTCTTCTGAACTTTCTATTCATCAAAGAAACCTGAACAAATTCTACTCCGCTGTTTTCAACATCATAATAATAAATAAAAAAATTTGAGCTGCAAATCAGAACATTAGAATGATGACTGGAGTAATGATGCTGAAAATTCAGCTTTGAAATCACAGGAATAAATTACATTTTAAAACATATTTATTATAAATACTACAAATATTTACTGTTTTTCCTGTACTTTGGATCAAATAAATGCAACCTCGGTGAGCAGAAGAGACTTCTTTAAAAAACATTAAAATCTTACTGTTCAAAAACTTTTGCCTGGTAGTGTACTCTGACACAAACACTTACATCTGCAGGTCTAGAAACGTCACGGGGATCTGAAAATGGTTTTAGGAGGCAAGCACGCTTCGCCGCACTACCTCCTCCTTCCCAGCATGCAGTTGGGGCAAGCGCAGCTTCCGGCTGAACGAGGGCAATTCACTGTCACTCTGCTCGGCGTCAGAGAAATAGCCGTCTGTTTCAGTGTCGAGTGTGGAGGTGTTGTTCCCAGTGCTCTTGGGAAGGGAGGTCTCCGTCGAGTCGCTCTTAGAGCGTGACTTGCCCTGTCTAGGTCGATGCAGACGCAAGGCCATTTGCGAGCGCTTGCCGCTCTCCGCAACAAATCCGCAAGAGCCACACTCTTCAGAAATGTGGCACGAGTCCATTTTGGATATGGCTGGCTGCAGAGGGTCTGGTCTGCCGTCGCAGCTGCGGGTGTGATGATGGTGAACATGACGCGCTCTCTCGGCCTTGCCTTTAACTGCGGATCTGATTCTCGGGAGCGAGACGGATTTTCTGCGGCTGCGCGGCGCTCCCCTCGGCTTGCGGCCCAGCTGGGGCGTCTTCCAGGTGGACTTGATGGAGTGGTCCATCATGAGGCTGAGCAGGCTCTCCTCGCCCTGCAGGAGCTGGTCTGACAGGAGGCTAACTGACGGATCGCGCGTCTCTCCGGATAGAGACCACTGGCTCAGCATGTTATCTGCCGTGATGTGAACGGACTGAGCCAGCCAGCTGTCAAACAGCGAGCCGTCCAGCGGGAAGGATTTGGAGAAACCTGTGAAAGAGATAGACATTAGAAACCATGTGCCGATATACAGTAATGCTTTATATCGCAATAATGAGCATGCATTATATTCAGGGTTTGAATTTAACTTTTTCACTCACCAGCCAATTTGGCAACTACATTTTTAAGTTACCGGCCATTCATAACTTCTACTAGCCCCAAAATTTTTTTTTTTTACCAAAATAAGCCAACAGCTTGCGGCTGTCCACATTGGATGCGACCAAACGGGAATTGCAATTTGCAAATCATTTGAACTTTGTGTCAGTAAGTCATAAATAGAACGAGGCATCAGTTTACTGTCAGGGATAGGGCTGCTCAATTATGGCAAAAATCATAATCACGATTATTTTGGTCAATATTGTAATCACGATTATGAGTGGGCCATATAAAGACCAAAACTTTATACGAGTGATTTATTTAAAGATAGCGATATATCAAATACATATTTTCTGTAAATAAGGTTGCTATTGTGCTAAATTTCACAATTCATAACTACCATAGAATACTAGGGTAACTAATATTAGTAAAAAACAAACAAAATTCCTCAAAAGTATTGAAAATAATTAAACCGTCAGTAATAAAAAAAAAAAACCCGCAAAGGACAAATACAATAGAATAAAAAGAGACAAATAATCAAATGTACAATAAAACAGCATAGTCTTCACTGTAAGAATGAAACTTTCTTCGTTTCTTCTTTCTTTGTTCCCAGGGAACACACATACTGGTAAAAAAATGTATAGCCTGAATGCACTGTAAGTCGCTTTGGATAAAAGCGTCTGCTAAATGCATAACTTCAATTATTAAATTAAATGATTAAAGCTACAAAAGTCCTTCATTCAAGAGCAGGTACTGTTACACATGTGTTTTCATTCTCACCTCTTTAAGATCATTTATTACATAACCGACGAGGGTTTACGTGAATAATCATTAAGTGCTGCATTTTGACACATACAGTGCTGTGAAAAGGTTTTTGCCCCCTTCCTGTTTTTTTTTATTTTTTGCACATTTGTCACACTTAAAAGATTCAGATCATCAAACAAATTTTAATATTAAACAAAGATAATGCAAGTAAATGCAAAATGCAGTTTTTAAATGATTTATTTTATTAAGGGAAAAAAGCTGTCCAAACCTGCCTGGCCCTACGTGAAAAAGTAATTGCCCCCTAAATCTAATAACTGGTTGTGCCACGCTTTGCAGCAACAACTGCAATCAAGTGTTTGCGATAACTGGCAATGAGTCTTTCACATCGCTGTGGAGGAACTCTGGCCCACTCTTCTTTGCAGAATTGTTTTAATTCAGCCACATTGGAGGGTTTTCGAGCATGAATGGACTGTTTAAGCATCTCAGTCGGATTTAAGTCCGGACTGTTTCTCATCTGTTCTTGAATTTCTTTAGATCATGGCGTGATGTGTTGCTCTTTAAGCATGCTTCACTTTGTCAGACAGGTTCTGTTTAAGAGATTTCTTGATTCAGCAGGTCTGGCAGTAATCAGGCCTGGGTGTGGCTAGTGAAATTTAACTCCGCTTTCTAAAATAATGTGCTTAATTGCAGTTCTTTCATGATTTAACAGGAGGGGGCAATTAATTTTTCACGTAGGGCCACGTAGGTTTGGACAGCTTTTTTCCCTTAATAAATGAAATCATCATTTAAAAACTGCATTTTGCATTTACTTGCATTATCTTTGTGTAATATTAAAATTTGTTTGATGATCTGAATCTTTTAAGTGTGACAAATATGCAAAAAATGTAAAAAAACAGGAAGGGGGCAAAAACCTTTTCACACCACTGTATTTGCGCGTATTTGACCGTTTAGGCACGCACTCGGGCGCAATAATCGTTTTATCTCGATTATTGTATTTTCATAATCGTTGGAGGCTGAAATCGAAACTGTATTTCGATTAATTGCACAGCCCTAGTCAGGGATTTGTCGTGTCGCGCCGCATCCAGTCTAGACAACATACGCACGACCGGAAGCAGCGGAAGCGCTCGACTGTGGCATAATAAAAGCTCCGCTGCTTTACCCCACATACGCACGACCGGAAGCAGCGGAAGCGCTCGACTGTGGCATAATAAAAGCTCCGCTGCTTTACCCCACATACACACGACCGGAAGCGCTCGACTGTGGCATAATAAAAGCTCCGCTGCTTTACCCCACATACGCACGACCGGAAGCAGCGGAAGCGCTCGACTGTGGCATAATAAAAGTTCAGCTGCTTTATCCCACATACGCACGACCGGAAGCAGCGGAAACTACCGGAAGCAGCAGAAGCACTCGACTGTGGCATAATAAAAGCTCCCCTGTTTTCGAGCCATGTGTCACGCTCGTTTTGCTTCGACGGCTTTCAGCATCACCCTGCTTCATTCTACTACGTTAATAATTCATTAGCTCTTCCATGAACATGATTTCTGCCCGAGTCCCGTCAGATTGCATCGGCTGTGGGGATGAACACCACAACTCCCATGATTCCACACTCAGTCACAGCGTCATCAAACTATGCATTTGATTCTTTGTTTGTTTTGAATACGCACCTTTAGTGGCGAAAAATTACATATTGTGCCTTTAAAATAGATGAGCTCACTTGGCTCACACAGCCACTTAATATCATGCAAAGCTTCTATACGTCACTGCAGTGAGTTTGAGTGTGGATAGTTGCTCAGATGTGATGTCAAGAGGCTTTGGTTGTAGTGTATCTTGCGTATGGGAAGCGTATGACCGCGCTGATGAGGCTCGCAGGCCTGGCGGCCACATGCCAATCTGTGTTTTTTTTTAGGAAGACAGAATGAATATGGGTCTTAACAGCAGATGACAGAAAGCCAGCGAGTAGAGAGAAGTGCTGACTCAGAGATTCAGGAATAATGAACACTGCAACGAGGGATCCGACCAAATGCAGCTCCTTCATCCAGCAGTGTGTGAAAAACGGGTCAGCAGCGACGCTGTACACTCAAACCAAAACCATAAGGCACGTCAAATGACTCTTTTTTGTTTTAAGCATTAAAAATTAGAGCTATTAGATTTGTTTGATAAACCTAGCAAAATCTAGTTCAAATCATTTCTCCAGATTCCCTAAATCTTTTCGCAATATTAAGTACAGTAGATGGTGAAAGACCTAAATTCTTTGCAATCTTGCATTGAGAAATGTTATTTTTTAACAGCTTGACAATTCTCTCTAAGTTTGGCACAAAGTGGTTGCAAAGACTGAGGCTTTGGTAGATGCTTGTTTATTGGTTTGTTTTTTCTACCCAATCATGATGCCCTAAACTATTACCAAATGCACCTGCTTATTCTGGACTGTTTCAAAACTGTTCAATTTGGATATTCTATTCTATTATCTACATATTATATTTGTATAAACCTTTAATATTTAATGCTATACAACAACAAAACACAAATCTGGTAAAAGGCTAGGAGTGACTGCAAACATCATAGACAAAGTATATGAGACTGAAAATGAAACCGATCAAATATTAAGTTTGCTCACCTTATTTCACTGACCAATTGAGAACCGGAAGCAGCGGAAGCGCTCGACTGTGGCATAATAAAAGTTCAGCTGCTTTATCCCACATACGCACGACCGGAAGCAGCGGAAGCGCTCGACTGTGGCATAATAAAAGTTCAGCTGCTTTATCCCACATACGCACGACCGGAAGCAGCAGAAGCACTCGACTGTGGCATAATAAAAGCTCCCCTGTTTTCGAGCCATGTGTCACGCTCGTTTTGCTTCGACGGCTTTCAGCATCACCCTGCTTCATTCTACTACGTTAATAATTCATTAGCTCTTCCATGAACATGATTTCTGCCCGAGTCCCGTCAGATTGCATCGGCTGTGGGGATGAACACCACAACTCCCATGATTCCACACTCAGTCACAGCGTCATCAAACTATGCATTTGATTCTTTGTTTGTTTTGAATACGCACCTTTAGTGGCGAAAAATTACATATTGTGCCTTTAAAATAGATGAGCTCACTTGGCTCACACAGCCACTTAATATCATGCAAAGCTTCTATACGTCACTGCAGTGAGTTTGAGTGTGGATAGTTGCTCAGATGTGATGTCAAGAGGCTTTGGTTGTAGTGTATCTTGCGTATGGGAAGCGTATGACCGCGCTGATGAGGCTCGCAGGCCTGGCAGCCACATGCCAATCTGTGTTTTTTTTTAGGAAGACAGAATGAATATGGGTCTTAACAGCAGATGACAGAAAGCCAGCGAGTAGAGAGAAGTGCTGACTCAGAGATTCAGGAATAATGAACACTGCAACGAGGGATCCGACCAAATGCAGCTCCTTCATCCAGCAGTGTGTGAAAAACGGGTCAGCAGCGACGCTGTACACTCAAACCAAAACCATAAGGCACGTCAAATGACTCTTTTTTGTTTTAAGCATTAAAAATTAGAGCTATTAGATTTGTTTGATAAACCTAGCAAAATCTAGTTCAAATCATTTCTCCAGATTCCCTAAATCTTTTCGCAATATTAAGTACAGTAGATGGTGAAAGACCTAAATTCTTTGCAATCTTGCATTGAGAAATGTTATTTTTTAACAGTTTGACAATTCTCTCTAAGTTTGGCACAAAGTGGTTGCAAAGACTGAGGCTTTGGTAGATGCTTGTTTATTGGTTTGTTTTTTCTACCCAATCATGATGCCCTAAACTATTACCAAATGCACCTGCTTATTCTGGACTGTTTCAAAACTGTTCAATTTGGATATTCTATTCTATTATCTACATATTATATTTGTATAAACCTTTAATATTTAATGCTATACAACAACAAAACACAAATCTGGTAAAAGGCTAGGAGTGACTGCAAACATCATAGACAAAGTATATGAGACTGAAAATGAAACCGATCAAATATTAAGTTTGCTCACCTTATTTCACTGACCAATTGAGAAAAAATAAACTTTTTTGAAGGGTCTATTTTGAACCCTATTTGTGGCTAATGCTGTGAATGAACCACACTTTGGGGCATTGCCAGCTTAGATCATATGCCATGAGTAAAACCTGGCACTGATCAAAATGGCAAAAGAAAAACACAAGAGATTGCTGCAGAGTTTCCATACCTCCAGCCAGGTTCTTCTCTAAGAGCTGGATCTGCAAGCTAAAGATCTTCTCCTGCAGGTTGCATAAAGAGTGTTTGATCTTCTCTCTGCGTGTGACCATGTAGCACAAGTTTCTGACCTGAAAGAAAAAAAAACACCATTTACATTTAAATTACGAACTGAAATCACTATGGTTAGGAGTTGGCGTGTTTCCGAGTAGGGCTCTGGTGTAAAACCTGCAGTGATAATGCTCACGTTCCATATGACTCATCATTCTGATCTGTTCCATATGACTGATGTTGCATTCATCACATTTTAGAACCAGATTAAAGTTGACCTGAAATCCAAATTGATTACGTTCTTTCTCAATCTACATTCCATCTACAATGAGTTGCCTACAGTGAACCAAAATACAATACAAAGTTCATCTTAACTCATTAACCTAATCAGTGACTAACGTTCATAATCAATAATAGATTAATCACTTCCTGTAGATGCACATCATTGTCAGATCAATATCAATATTCTTGCTTAACATAAACCTTGAAAAAGAGGTTTACATGATGATGATCCACACTCAAAATCAGAATCAGAATTATCTTTATTCGCCAAGTGTGCGCAGACATATATATGCATATGTATTTACATAATACTTGAGGCAATAATTAGAGGTGGAGAATGAAATCCGGCGCCGACCGATCTAGCGATCCTGGGGGGCTACCGATGCGCGGAGGGTGGCATTCGAGAGGGCTCCTCGAGCTGAAGGGATCCCCCGAATTTGGTGGAGATCCGCCGGCACACTTCACACTTCTCTAGTAAGTTTCGTCTATGTGTGAAGACAGTAGCGCAAATCCGTGAATGAATGTTCCAAAGTGAAATAAACTTCAACGGAATAAAGTTGAATGGAATTGAATTAAAGTTGAATAAACTTCAACTTTACTGTTCAGTGCACTGAGGTCAGACTCATTTTGAATAAAGTTTATTGTTAAATGGCCTGCCTCCATCATTACATATCTTTGTCACGTCATTATAAGTGTTTGATCACCACATTTGAGTGATCATAGCAAAAAAATGTGTTTATTTATATATATATATATTCTGTTTATGTATATACTGTATTCTATATATAGTACCAGTCAAATGTTTGGACACACGAATGGGAAAGTTTCCAAACTTTTGACTGGTACTGCACTATAATATACACAAAGAATATCGGCCAATATATCAATATCGGCTTTTTTTTACTCCCAGATATCGGTATCGGCCCCAAAAAAACCATATCGGTCGGGCTCTAGTTGAAAGCAGAGCTGAAGTCTACAAATAGGATCCTAGCTTAAGTCACTGGTTTGTCCAGATGTTGCAAGATGAAGTGCAGTCCCATATTGACTGCATCATCCACAGACCGGTTTGCTCGGTAAGCAAACTGCAGGGGATCCAGCAAGGGTCCAGTAATGTCCTTCAAGTAGGCCAGCACCAGCCTCTCAAATGACTTCATGACCACAGATGTCAAAGCAACAGGTCTGTAGTCATTTAGTTCTGTGATTTTTGGTTTCTTGGGTACAGTGATGATGGTGGAGCGTTTAAAGCAGGAGGGGACTTCACACACCTCCAGTGATCTGTTGAAGATCAATGTGAAGATGGATGATAGCTGGACAGCACAGGCTTTGAGGCAGGCTCGAGAGACACCGTCTGGGCCTTTGGCTTTCATTATCGTCTGCTTTCTGAAGACTTTGCGTACATCGCCTTCACAGATATTGAGTGCAGGCTGAGAAACAGTAGGAGGGAGGGAGGGGGCCACAGATGTCAAAGCAACAGGTCTGTAGTCATTTAGTTCTGTGATTTTTGGTTTCTTGGGTACAGTGATGATGGTGGAGCGTTTAAAGCAGGAGGGGACTTCACACACCTCCAGTGATCTGTTGAAGATCAATGTGAAGATGGATGATAGCTGGACAGCACAGGCTTTGAGGCAGGCTGGAGAGACACCGTCTGGGCCTTTGGCTTTCATTATCTTCTGCTTTCTGAAGACTTTGCGTACATCGCCTTCACAGATATTGAGTGCAGGCTGAGAAACAGTAGGAGGGAGGGAGGGGAAGGGTGTTGATGGCTGTGTTGCGAGACGGTCGCCGTGATTTTGCCAAGTAAGACATGTCCCTGGATCAACATCTTTTGTTGATTCTGGATCAACATTACAGTCCAAAAATATAGACCAAACCCAATCCCTACCCCTAAACCTAACCCTACCCATAATTTATTTCTAAAATCTGTGTGAAATGATAGCTGATTAACAAGGGTGTAGAAGCACCTAACCCTGATCGTAAGCCTAAAACAGATATTTCCTGAAAAGTTATCCCTCAATTCTGATTGGTTAATTGGAATGTTGTTCCAGGATCAACAAGGATGTTGTTGTACTTGGTGAAATCACGGTCACCGTTGTGAGACGGTCAGAGCGGGTGTGGGGTGTCAGACCAGTCTTTTGCTTTTCAAACCTGCAGTAAAACTCGTTGAGGTCTTCAGCCAGTTGTTGATTGGCCTCAGTGCTGGGGGATGGGGTCTTGTTACAAGTGATGTCTTTCAGGCCTTTCCACACTGATGTAGAGTTATTACTTGAAAGCTGTTTTTCCAGCTTTCCAGAGTAGCTTTTCTTTGCCACTTATCTCCCTATTCAGTGTGTATTTGACCTGTTTGTACAAGGCTTTGTCCTCACTCCTGTAGGAGTCCTCTTTGGCCTGGCGAAGCTGTTTGAGTTTTGCACTGAACCAAGGTTTGTCGTTGTTAAATGTTAAATAAGTCCTGGTGGGAACACACATGTCTTCACAGAAACTGATGTAGGACGTCACGGTGTCAGTAAGCTCATCCAGATCAGTAGCTCAGCCTCAAAAATACTCTTGTAAATCCCGCTCTGCTTAATTAGTCCATCTCTTTACAGTTTTTACTACAGGCTTAGCAGATTTAAGTTTCTGCTTGTAGGCAGGTATAAGATGAACTAAACAGTGACCAGAGAGTCCCAGAGCTGCTCGGGGGACAGAGTGATATGCAACATTCAAAAAAGTATAGCAATGGTCCAGTATATTGCTGTCCCTGGTGGGGCATGTGATGTGCTGTCTGTATTTAGGCAGTCCGCGGGTGAGATTAGCTTTTTTTTAAATCACAGAGAACAATAATGAAAGAGTCCGGATAACACTGCTCTGTGTGTGTGTGATCTGATTGGCCAACAATTCTAACGCCGCGCTCACTCACGCATCAGGAGGAATGTACACACTCACCAGAATAAACGAGGAGAACTCCCACGGCGAATAATAAGGCTTACAGTTAATAAAGAGAGCTTCCAAATTTGGGCAGCACATCTTCTTTAAAACTGACACGTCTGTACACCAGCCTTCATTAATATAAAAACAATCCACCGCCTCTCATTTTCCCCGACGACTCTGTGACGCGGTCCAATCTGAACATCTGGAAGCCCGTTAGATGTAACGCGCTGTCCGGGATGGCTCTGTTCAACCAGGTTTCCGTGAAGCAAAGGGCAGCAAAGTTTAAAAAGTCCTTGTTTGTGCAGGTGAGGAGTGGAGCGGAGATTCGCCAGATGAATGCTCGGCAGTGGAGTCCTAAAACCGCGCTCTGGAATTTCACTAGCGCACAGCGCACTTCCCTCGCCTGGAGCGCTTGTATAGATTATAATAAATATAATAAAAAATGAAATACCTTAATAATAATAAATTAAATACCACAATAATTATAACAATAACAATAACTAATAATAATAATAAATAAAATACCTAAATTAAACTAATACCTTAACAAAATCTCCAAATATCAAGTGATTGTTTTATACAAACCATAAATGCCTAAAAATCCAACCGTTAATTTGGGGTAATAGTTCCATAAATTATCTAAGTTCCCTATTGATACTTCACTTGTACTCTGTCTGCTTAAGATGCTTTGGGAAAACTAATTTTCTCCGATGACTGAAGCCTTTCAATAACACGGCACGGCCATTGATTCGTGCAGTAATAAAAAAACTAACCAATGTCTCGGCAGCGGTGCTGCACGAGCCTATGGCGACGAAGCCCGCCAGAATGGGTGGGGCCATCTGGCTATATAAGCGGGCATTTTGCCATAGGATCCTCAGATTCTTCTCATCAGCGATGACTGCAAGATTTTCGCTCTACGAGACTTGAAGCCTGCATGCCGCTGACGGTCACAGCGAGTGCGTTTCATGCTTGGGCACCGCCCACGCTGAAGCGGCAATTATCGAGACGGAATGTCCTCATTGCGAGGATATGAGTCTCTCCTCTCTGCGCTCACGGATAGCTTTCTTTTCAGAGAGAAGAGTGGACGCTCCACTCTCAAACGGTTATAAAAATCTGGGAGATCTCCGGCAGGGCAGAGGTCGACCTCTTCGCTTAAGAAGACAACTCTCATTGCACCAACTTACTTTTCGAAGGACAGGGATGCGTTGGCCCACGACTGGCCCAGCCTCCTCCTTTACGCTCCCCCCCCTCAATCGCTCTCATCCCACTGGTAATCAGGCGAATCAGGGAACAGAGACAAGGTTCTGTTGGTGGCCCTGCTCTGGAGGAACACTGGTTCGCAGAGCTGTATCTGCAGCTCTCGGCAGCCCGTGGCCCATTCCCCTGAGACGGGACCTCCTTTGGCCTCTCGATGGGAGCCTGCAGACCTCCCCGAGAACGTGCTAAACACAATCTTTCAGGCTAGAGCACCGTCTACAAGACGTCTCTATGCCCTTAAATGGTCTGTCTTCTCCGCCTGTTGTGCAGCCCATGGCACCGACTAAATTTCCTGTGACATATCTCTGATATTGTTCTTCCCACAAGAGCTGTTGGACAAGGGTCGTTCCCCTTCCACGCTCAAGGTCTATGTAACAGCCATAGCAGCCTCTCACGCTCCTATAGCTGGCTAATCGGTGGGCAGGAACAACTTAGTTGTTCGTTTTCTGAAGGGGTCTAGGAGGCTCAACCCGCCTTGCCCCATCACCGTTCCTACATGGGATCTGCCCACGGTGTTGAGGGCTCTGAAGAGCCCTCCCTTTGAGCCGCTACAGTACATTGACCTTCGTCTCCTGATGCTTAAGACCGCTCTGTTACTAGCGTTAGCATCGGTAAAGCATATGGGAGATCTGCAGGCACTCTCTGTGAGTCTCACCTGCCTTGAATTTGGGCCCAGCGACTCTAAAGTCGTCCTGAAGCCTAGGCATTGTTACATACCTAAAATGCGCTCTACTCCATTCAGAGCACAGGTAATAACTCTATCTGTGCTTCCTCTTTCGGAGCAAGACCCAGGGTTGAATTTACTCTACCTCATCAGGGCGTTGAGAGTTTATGTTGAGCGTTCTGCCCCATTCAGGCAGTGGGAACAGCTATTTGTATGCTTCTGAGTCCACACCAAGTGTTCTCCGGTCACAAAGCAGAGACTTTCCAAATGGATAATTGATGCTATTACGCTAGCGTACACTTCTTTGGGCCTTCAATGCCCAATGGGAGTAAGAGCCCACTCAACTAGAGGCATCGCCTCTTCCTGGGCTTGGTCTAGCGGTGTGTCCATTGCAGAGATTTGTGCGGCGGCTGTCTGGGCCTCGTCATCCACATTTGCCAGGTTTTCTAATCTGGACGTCCCGGCCTTACAGGCTCTGGTCCTTTCTGACTCAAATCCCTCAAATCTGCGTTCGCTGCTGCTGCCACCGAGAGCAAACATGTTTGGGTAAAAAACAGCTTCACAAACAGTCTTTTCAACTACACAGTGTTATTTCTGTCTTACAGTCATTCATATTATCACAGAAATACTGGGATGAAAGTTTATAGTTATTTATAATTTATACAGATATAAACATTGATGTCTATGGTAGCGATCAAAATAAATCAAATCCCTTTCTGAAAGTAATTGGCACTTCAAATAACGTTTGTGTCAATTGAAAAGTGACTGTTAAAAAATGTGTTTGTCATCAAGAGATTTGTTCAAAACCTTGAATCATCCAGTAATGAAACAAGTGAAGTATTTATGAGAGAGTCATTGAATCATTCATTCAAACTACTTTTTCATAATTTTAATATTTTGCCACGCATTATTTTGTTTAATTCAGAATTGTGGGAGAATCGTGATCTCTATTTGAGACAAAAAAAATCGTGATTGTCAATTTATCGTGCAGCTCTAAATCCTGTTTGAAACGATCATTATTGAGAGCTTGACAGATGAGAACATGTGAGAAAAGGGCAGCTATACTCACCCTCTCGAGATCCTGACGCAAGTGAGTGAAGAGCTTCAGACGGCGATATAAAACGTCCTGCTCCTGCTGGGCGAGATTGTCCACCTCGTCCCTCTTGAGGGCCACCAGCGGCTGGTTAAAGTTGGCCTTTCGTCGCAGCTTCCAGTACTGGAAGAGGAAGTCCACGTGAACATCTGGCAGAGAAAGGCTTTCTGCGACATCCTTGGGGTCCACGAATCTGTAAAACTCATTTTCAAGCTCTTGCAGCTTCTGCTTGCGTTGGCTGGCTTTCTCCTGTTCTGCTTGGTCCTGCTTCGAACGATCCAAATGCGTCCCCGACAGATCGGAACCAGCATGCCGCGTTTCGGTTCGGTCCACATTCCCGCCGTTGTTTGAGCGCGAGACGCTGCTGTGCTCTAGACAGTAGGATTTGAAGCGCACCTCGTCGTTCTCTGCCAGAGTGGTGCACATCTCTAGTCCGTGGTCGAACGCACAGGTCACGTGGAAGGCCACGATGCAGGATGGCATGGAGCACTGTGTAAGCAAAACGGCATGTTTAGAGCGCTGGTTCACGTTGTCATTAGCAGGGGCCAGTTGTTCAAAAGGTTTAATCTGGATCAGAATGATCTGGATTTGGAAATCCCATATTTTGCTATCCAAGATCAGGTAACCCATCTTACTTTTGTGCCGGTTTTTCAAAGCACAATTGTGACCCTGGAGCACAAAAGCAGTGTTAAGTCGCTGGGGGATATTTGTAGCAATAGCCAACAATACATTGTATGGGTCAAAATTATAGATTTTTCTTTTATGCCGAAAGTAATTAGTATATTAACTAAACTGCATTATGCCATGAAGATATTTTGTAAATTTTCCACCGTAAATATATCAAAACGTAATTTTTGATTAGTAATATGCATTGCTAAGAACTTCATCTGGACAACTTTAAAGGCGATTTGTTCAATATTTTGATTTTTTTTGCACGCTCAGATTCCAGATTTTCAAATAGTTGTATCTCAGCCAAATATTTACCCTTATGACTGGTTTTATGGTCCAGGGTCACGATTGGATTGGATCACCCTAATCCAGATACACACCTTTTCAGATTTTTCAAGAAACGTTGAATTAAATCTGATATTTTTGTTTGATATTGACAGCTGTTTGGGGATATATTACACGTTACAAATGTTGTATTTTTTTGGACCAGTTTTAAAGCTTTATTACATTTTTGTTCCTGAAATCCACCGTTCTGCTGGGATAAGAATAATCCAGTTTATTTGGAACAAAAGTATCTTACTAAAACGTTTTGAACCACACAAACTGAGGATTTAATCCATCTCAAAACCAAGATTTGATTTTGTGATCAGAATTCAGAATCCTTTTTTTATTTTGAACAACCCATTTTCAAGATTTGATCCAATCCGATGGCTAAAATCCGATCAGATTACTTTTGAACAACTGGCCCCAGAGCTGGGTAGTAACTGATTACATGTAATCTGGATTACGTAATCAGATTCCACAAATTAAGTACTTGTAGTTAGATTACATTACATTTTAAAACAACTGTAATCAGACTAGTCTCTTTTTATTGATTACATATTCACACAACAGCAATAAATTATTCATTATTCATTGATTCTCCCTAATTCTTCTTTTCATCTGTTAAATTGTCCTTTTCAGATAGCCTACGAGTTTTCCAGTCTTCCAGTCGTCACACAAAGACCAGTCACTAGTCAGATGGATATAATTACAAAGCAAATTGAGAGGCCACGCAGCATTTGACCAACGGTTTTACAAAAATCTTTTCAGTTTCAAGAAGTGTTTTCTCAACACTTCAACAATGATTCAACTACTGATGAACACATTCATTATATTTGAATCATCACTCAATTTAACCATGTATTACAGTGTCTTTGGAAGGTTTTTGTCTTTCAAAAAGTTTTTAAATGATTATTTCTATGATGTTATTAAATATTAGCATTTCATTAAATTCACAAACCCCAGTTTGGGAAACCCTGACATAATGTAATGTTTAATGCACTTCATGTTGTTCATAACAACAAATGGAATATATTTTCATTGCATTGTTGGCTGTTTTCCCTGCAGTAACAACGAACAGGGATAGAAGCTTTTGAGCTTCAAAAAGGATGCAAAAGCTCCATACAAATATCATAATAGTACAAATCTAGTCTGAATGATTTGTTCATGAATCTCTAGTTCAGCTCACCAACTCAATATTTAGCTGATTTTCAGTCAGTAATGAAATCTATTACGTGACTTTGCATAGACCGCTTCTATGATACTTTTATGGTGCTCTTGTGTCCTTTTTGAAGCTGGAAAGCATCAGTTGCCATTCAGTGTAACTGCATGGAAAGGAGCATCCAACACAGTCTTCACAATTTCTTCTTTTGTGCTCCACAAAAAAAATATACTTGTCTGGAACAACATGTGGATGAATTAGATTTGCATTGTTGCATTCATTATTCCGTTGCTAGCTCTTTATATAATCCTGGATATACAAGTACGTGTAACTATACCAACGTACATACAGTATACTCATTATATGTACCATACAGCAAATCCCAACTACTTGATTTCTTGCAATATAATCTGCTATATGCAACTAAAAAGCGTGCAGATATTATAAACATGAACATCAAGATGTTCTGTAAAGCTGCTTTGAAATAATGCGTATTGTAAATAATCGATTTTGACTAGACTTTATAAAACATCCCATCCTTTCTTACTTTGAAAGGAAACTACATGAAAGCTTACTCTGCTCTTTAAACGTGTCAAGTGTCCAAAAGCAGCATGTCTCTCACCTGTATGCATGTGCCTGTGTGTTCACGGCACAGGCCACAGGACAAGGCCCAGCGACTGGCTGGGATGTGGGATACTTTAATAATAGGCTCCATCTTCTCAGGGCAGCCAATGCTCACCTTTGATGACATGGAAACAGCACAAGTCAGAAAACACTTCAACCCAGTTAGCACATCATATGAGATCAGAACTGACATTTTCTTACTTAAGATCGTTGTTTGTTTTTGTGTTATGTTTTTGGATTCTTGCGTAATAGGACCCCCTTGAAAACGAGGTGATGCATCTCAAGGGCTTTATCCCAAAGAATAAAATTTGCTGCAATGAAACAGATCGCTCCATCTTGAGACAGTCTCTTTAAAAGCACCCATTCAAAATACACAGCACATTAAAAATGCAACGGCGAGTGCTCAACACCCGTCAAGCTGGACGCGATAAAAACAAAAAAAGTGTGCACGCTTAATATGATTATTTTGGTTATTTGGTAAGCGCAAAAGACGGCCTTTGATGTGTTTTTCATAGAGCTCAGGGCTTGTATTTCGGCACGGGATTGCGGGTATTATTGTATCAACTGCACATGCTTTAAAGTCTTACGTATTTATAAATTAAAGCGATCTTAAACCATTTAAGCGCCAGAAGACTCGTGCATTCTCTCAGAGACTGTTATCATAAAGCCGCCTCTGAAACAGCGTGTGACTACAGAATTATATTTTGTGCTTTATTGTGCAAAATAACAATAAATCTAAAATATGCTCATGCAGATTAAGACATTAATATGTACTTAGACAATATGCTAGTAATAGGCACGCTAGTTAAGCAACTAGTTAATAGTGAGAATTGTTGCTTAAAGTGTTACCCTAAGAATAAAATGTAAACTTTTACTAAATAAATGTAGTTGCATTGGGTTGCATTGTATTATGTGATTTTACTGGTTTAATCTGAACATGTACTGCTATGGGCAGACAGGGAGCCGCCCAGAAGAAAAGCTAGTAGTAAACTAGGACACTTATTTTCAATGCAAAAGGACGCATGATCTAAAGCAGAATCTACAGCAGGGACAATGAGAGCCACTTTCACATCTAGAGCTGTATGTTAGTTTCAAGTTCAATTCTTAAAAAATAGGCGAGTCTCACGAAGCCTGTCAAGGAGTTACCCATACAGTATTCTCCCAAAAGTGTTGCAGATGAAATGTGCTCAGTTCAGTTTATTCATCAGCGCTTTACGTGATTTCTGTGAGTCTTTTCACTTGCTTTTGTGGCTCTCTACATCCCTGTCATCTGCCATTGTTACCGCCTCACTCTTCAGCTTCTCTAAACGTTATTGGAATAACCATTTGGACCAGGCTTTGAATCCCTTTCTTCCCGTCAATTCTGCTTTTGTTCTCCTTTGACTGAAATATTCAGCAGCCTTCTGCACGTGAAATACGGCGCTCCTTTACAAAAACATCTTGCACTCCACCTGACCGAACAAGTTCAAATTTCTGGCTGAAAAGCTTTCCTTTCAATCACGCGACGAGACAAAGAGAGCCGAGGAAATATTTCAATTAGAATTCATCCATTATTGCATGCTAATTACAAGTTTCCTCTGTCAAAGGCAAAGCATCTTGCAGATGAATAAGTGTGAATGAGTTCTGTAGCGTTTAGGGCATGATTTCCTTTGCGCTTTTACTGCTTTATTGCATCTTTTATCAAGCTAAATTAATTCCAAAGTTCATTTCAACTCAACCATGTCTGAACAAATCATCAAAATCAATATTGGAAATAATAACCAATGAATTTCATGAATGCACTGCGGCACGGAGAGCGTTCATCAGCTTACAATAGAGAATAATGCATTTCTACTGGAAAAGTATGCTGGAGTGTATTATATCTACAGCAAAAAAATTGTGTTACTGCGGAACATTATTTTTCTCCTTATTATAAATCAGAGATTTATAATGCTCTGATGCTTCCAAATGTTGTGTTACTTTTAAAGCTGCAATGAATTACAATAATGCAATATTTTATTCGCCCCAAAAGTTTCAAACATTTGATTTCCATTGGTCGTACTAACAAACAGTCCCACCAAAAACAATGCTGTTACTAGGGGTGTGCGATATTGACAAAAAATTATATCTCAATATTTTCTGGGATTTTATCGATAACGATAATTAGACGATATTTTGCTGAGTGTGTTATTGTGCTGGTATCTTAAGGACTGCCGA